TGGGATTTGTCTTCCTTTTTATTTAACTAGAATCGGTGACTTTGTTCTCTTGTTGTGGGGTTATGGAAACAGATTAGGACTAGGAAGATCAAGCTAACTTCACAAGATTCAAGTTTTGTTGGTCGACGGACAAAAAACCAAAAGATAAGAAAAATGAACGAGTTTGTTGGTTTTGGTGTGACATGTTGTCGAGAACAGCAATTTGAAAAAGCTATTTTGCCAGAATTTTCTTGTTATTTCTTCTTTCATTTCTCCTAGTATAGATGTTATTTTAAATGCACCTATTAGCCTTGCATTTGGATAGCTCATGCAACTCAAAGGTTTGTCTTCTCCACTTAAAGGCTTGTCCTTTTGCTGGAAAAGTTCTAAGAACCACAAAACTTGTGGCCACACACTTTTGTTGGTCCAGTATGTGTAAGGGTTAGAGACATTGAGGCACAGACAATCAACTATTTAGTTTGCTGTTTGTCAATTAGAGATTATGGCTTTTATCTTTATGGTCTAGTGGAAGTTTAGTTATGTTGGAACTAGAGCATTCGTTAGCTAGCTATTATGAGGAACTGGAAGTTCAACGACTGTAAAGCTCACCGTTAGCTAGAATTTGAAAAGTTTTGAATACCCTTTTGTTTTTTCCCAAGACAGGTATTGAAGACAGTTGATTCATAATTTTCTATAATAGTGCACATTCCGAGAACCTTTTCCGTTTACCATATTATCCTGAGAATTTGTTGGAAATGCTGCATAAAGATCCTCCTCTAACTAAGAATATCTTGATTAATACAAGTATATAGTGAACTTAACTCAGGTGCCACTTTCACAAAATACACGTTTGTGGTTTGTTCACCTTTGGCACTCTTCTTTTGCATTTCTTGTCAAAAATGGGAAAAAAGAGTAGAAGAACTATTAACAGCTTGAGCATCTGGATTAAGGGCAGTATGAAAAATTTGTTGCTGGAACTGTTGTGATTCAGTGGTATAAATTACATGTCATTTCTTCGTCCTTCTAGGTAATTGCTGAAAATCTTTCTGAAGAAGAAATTATGGGGTTGAAGGCAATGTTTAAATCCATGGACACAGACAATAGCGGAACAATTACTTACGAAGAGTTGAAAGCTGGTCTTCCAAAATTGGGTACCAAGCTTTCAGAGAGTGAAGTCAAGCAGCTGATGGAAGCGGTACCATCCCCTCTCTTCTCAATATGATTTCCTGTTCTTTTCCTCTTTAAAAAAAAAAAAAAACAAAAGGAAGTGCGAGGTTGCTCTTGGATAAGAAAATGTTTGGTTTTTCAGGCTGATGTCGATGGCAATGGGACGATTGATTACCTTGAGTTTATAACAGCCACTATGCATTTGAATAGAATGGAAAGGGAGGATCATTTATATAAGGCATTTGAATATTTTGACAAGGACAAGAGCGGGTAATTTCCTTTCTCGCACTTAAGCATGATGTTTTGATATTACGTTCCCGTTCAAGCTAGCAAATCTAATTATCAATCAACAAATATATTTTGAAAAGTATGATGCTCACTTGCATGTATCTGCTGCCCTTTGAAGGTATATCACAATGGAGGAGTTGGAGCATGCACTTAAGAAGTACAATATGGGTGATGAGAAAACAATTAAGGAGATCATTGCTGAAGTTGACAGTGATCGTGTATGTTATTTTCTTCTCTCATGTCCATTCACGATCAACTATAGTGCACTAAATCTGCATAAAATAATGCCCACTTATGGTCATCTCATCTCCTAGTACGTAATTTGCAAACAGCTCAAATTTGTGTGAGGCTATCGAAGCGTAATTCATGTATAGCATGTAACTTGGCAAAGTTGGTTTAACAAGTATAGTTATGCAGAAGTTACATATAAGATTGACAGTCTAGAAACGACAGAAGATGGTTCGCCCATTGGCCTTGGTCCACTTATTAAGGAGAAGCAGCAATTTACCTGTCAGAATTCGAAGTACAATGAAAGAGAAAGAACTCTCAAAACCCATAACCTGCAGATACACCCATTATCTCTCGCACACTTTGGAATATCACTAACGGAACATATATACTAAAACCCTAACAAAATAATGTATACCCGAACTGGTCTGTACAGTGGGGGCTCTGACCCCCACCTATAGTCCTGAGCCTTTGGTCCGGGCCCTCCATTTTCAGCACAGACCTCTTGAAAAATGATCAATCGGGTCGCCATGAAATTTATTGAATTGAATCGCAAATTGGTCTAGCGCATAAAAATAATTCAAGTCACAATTAACATCTATCAAGGATACACCCTCGCATTTATTTATCTGTGAGAAAAAGATTCTTAAGAGTATAATGGTTGAAAACACAATGCCGTATAATTTGTAGCTTGGTTGAAGGAATTCTTGCTCTGGGCTAACTTTTTGTTGGTAGGTTTTATGTTTTAAAAGTGTTCCTTGTGCAACAATTTACAGTTGAAAATGTATAATTTGCGAAATATGTCATGGTATTATTTTATGGAGTGCGAATAAAACATATAAGCAAGTAAAAAGTAGAGCAGGGCATAGAATTAATTAGCGCTCGATTTGTGTAAGTTGGAAATCTCTATTGAACTTCCATGATAAGGTCTTCTAAGTTACTTTCTTAACACTGCTGTTCCATGAAGATGAGCAGACATCGTTTCTTCATGGTATACCTTGTGGCCTGTTGATTGTAATCTTCTTGTGACATATCCGAGTGTTTTCGAATTTATCAGGATGGAAGAATCAACTATGATGAGTTTGTTGCCATGATGAGAAAGGGTAATCCTGATTTGGCCCCCAATAGACGTCGGAAATAGGCAGATGGAACATGAAAGCTTTTGTCGGCCCAAAACAATGGTGCGAGCGGATTGTAGATCGTATGACCGTGATTATGATCGTCGAGAATCAAGATGACAAGCCTTTATGTGCTTTTAGCCACGGGGTCCGAATCCTTGCTTTCTGATGTGATTTGCACAATTCATCCATGCCTCTGCTCGCTGCTTCTTATCGGTGTCGAAATGCAGGAGATTACTGGAAATTTTGTTGAGTCAATTTGTGGTTTTAAGGTTGGACATGTCTCGGTTGGCTCGAGTGAGAGAGTGTTGCTTATGGCAAAGCTTCTAAAAGGTTGTATTTTCAATCTGTTGGATCAATTTGTTTAGGTAAGATTCCGAGGAATATTAAGATTGATGAAGTGCAGATCCCATCGACATATTTCCATTTTTGCCTTTGACGTGTACATCAGTAGATAACTGTTACCTCCGCAAACCAAAGTAGAATCACGCCCACATTACACTTTTTAGAGCACTCGGAACAGAGATTCAATCGATTTTACGGTGAAATCGGTCGGATCGTCTTGTAAGGCGTATGCGTATTTGTTTCTCATTCTTCCTCTTGCGCGTACAGGTGGGATTAAGGCACAAAGCGAAGTTTAGTAGGTAACACTCCCACTGCTCACTGTACTGCGGTATGATATATTTAAGGCCCAGGGGCAATGATTCCATGGCTAACGTAGTTGATGAAACTAGTCACAGCTTGTGGAGCCTAGCCCACTGATGAATTTGTTTATCGATTTCGTGTGGCCTATCAGGTCGGATAAAGTGAACTGTTCTCTAGTACTTATAAATATAGGAAAAGTAGACTTCAGGGAAGAAGATGAAGATCACTGCAATGTAAATGATGGTTACAGGAGCTCAAGGAGGCCACGCAATTCTGGGGCATTGCGCCGGCAACATGCGCATCAAGAACACGACCTAAGAATGCGGAGCACCTCCCTCCGTTGAGAGGTACCCTTGAAACTCACCTTGTTCTCTCGGAAAATCCGAGTCGAGTGCATGATGGTAAAAGGGATTGTGGGATTTTCCTATAATGTATGGCTAACTTCGTCTATGTTGGTGGAACTCCGAGTCGCCGTTAAGTTTGGGAGTGAATTTTAACTTTGACACACTTATCACAATCAAGACGTCAAAAGTAATAGTGCTCCAAGCACTTTCTCATATCACAATGTTCTCAAAAGCTGTACCCATAGATGAAGAAACGCTTGGACAGCCTAGCTAGCCAAGAGCAAACAAGACCCGCGTCGACCAGTCCATTTATTGCCACTACTCCGGCCAATGTATGTAGCAGTCTCTAATTAGTGCCCCAAAAGAGAAGCAAGCATATCTCCAAATACTGGTACAAGGTAATATCATCAAAACATTAGACGCCTGGGTCAAACGCTATCGCAAGAAAACAGATGATTTCGCAAAGCCACATCCTCCTCGTCCATTTGCACAGTGATAATGCTGCTATTATCACCTAAAGCTGCTGAAGATGGAAGCTAATAGAGTCTGAAGAGGGATTGTGAACGACAACGTCACGTGGAGAAATAAGTTCCGCGCATGTTCATGTGATCTTAGACTCTCCATCCCCAAAGTGACAGAAATTTTGGGGACAAGATGGAGGCAAAACTTAAATACCAATCCACTTTGAAGGCAACACCCCTCTCATTGAGAGAGCTTCCATAAGTGTGGTCGCCCCGAGAAGGGCTTCCTAAGAGAAAAATTACAACTATTGCAACTTGTATGACTCCTACACCAAGTGTCAACGGGAAGCACTCCTATCGGTGTCAAATTGAAGTGAGCAGAAAGGACTCCGATATGGAAAAAACATAATCTAAGCTCACTGCAATCAGTATCCATTTGCTCTAGACAGATCCATTCCCTTTGCAGTTTTGTGGCCACAAGTGTGGCCTCCGCCAGAACTGCCAATGCAGATCCATTCAATCGAGACGAAGCTACCTATAATTTCAATCTGCCCTTCTAGAATCAACAATTGCCATTGTTCGAATCGCCTGCTGAAGGACCCAGCACGATCTCTTGCCTTGCCATGGCTATATTTTGAAAAAAACAACCTTGATCCTAGGGTCTCCTGGGATGCTACAAGCTCTATCATGCTCATTCCATGGAGCTCTGATTCCATACATCTCGAGATTGAATCACATCACTCACTCATATCATAAGTAAAAGTCAAAGATTCAACACAAATCACAGCACCCTATCAACCAGCGAAAAACACTATGTCAACAAACCAATACTTGCACAAAAATCCATGCAATTCTGAGCACGTCTGAAGAAAATGAAGGCACAAATATCCAGATTCATCCACATCTGAACCCAACACCAGAAAAAAACATGATGAAAACAGGGTTCATGCTAATCATGGACAATTTTAGCAACTTCAACCAAAAATTTGAAAAACTACCACATCATTCCAAAGGACCTAGTATGAGACAGAAGACTAAATAATTTAAACCTTCTTCTTGTCCTTCAAAGGCCCCCTTGGGAACTTGCTCAAAACTTTCTCATCAAATACTGCATACTGCTTCTTGATCTCAATAGTTGCCTTCTCAGCAAACGGGTCTACCTTGTCCTCATACTTCTCATAGAGCACAGGCACAGTGTGCAGTAACACAAACACTGTTCAAGAAACAAACCCTATCCATAAGACTTCATTGGGAGATATACACAATTAAATTCAACAAATATTATAACACTTCCTTACCCAAGTAAAATAACGTCAAGAAGTTGGACCAGCTGCCCACGATAGACAAAACCCAAAACACAGCAATCACCTAATTTGGCCACATTCAATTTTTCCATTAAGATGTGAAAGGAAATTGCAAAGCCATATGTGTACAAATTCAACCGAAACATATGATCTGGAAGAGCACCACACATGCTGAGAGAGTAGCATACAAGCAAACAACCATAAGCACAATTATGAACATACCAAGAGAAATTTTTTAAGATCTCTTCCGGATGCAATCTCCCTCAGCATAGCAAATGCACGATTTATTTCAAAGCTAAGTGCAGAGGCAAACTCCAAGACAGGTTTCTCTGGTATCGATACTTCAGGAATGTGAGGTGGCTTCCTAAGAAAGAACAATTAAGGCAAGATAATCCCATCAAAGCCAAATAGGAAAAACATCGAATTTAACATTATCCACACTCAAATGGATCTAGTAACACCATCAAAAACTTACTTGTGAATGAATGTAGTGGCATTGGACCACAAGAACAAGATTGCAAGGCCAAGGATCAAGACATGGCAAACTAAAGTGAGAAGGTGGTACTCGAGCAATTCAAACAGAATCCATATTGCCGTTGCAACACCAAGAGCACCAGCAGATATCTTCTTATTTCTCCATAGGAGTACATCAGCAGCTGTTTCACCACAATTAAAAACGAACAGTTTAATAACGAACCTCTGCAGTCAGAGACATGCATAGCAGGGAGAACAAGTTAGAACACACGGGATGGAAGCATACGTCATGTCTTATCGTGTCATCTTTGCCGCATAACCTTAAAAGATAAACAGGAAATTTTCGCTATGACGAGAGAAAAGAGGCGAGTTTTCACAGCTTCACAACAACAGTCTTGAACACTGCTCGAGGCAAATCTCATACCTCAACCAAAGAAACCGACTTTAACCGGACAAGCCAAAGCTTCACAAAGGCATCTACAGATACTACGTCAGCCACCCAGAATGGAAATACTTCTCAGTAGGTCAACATATACCTCAACCATAGCACGTTCACAAGAGCGCCCAGATCTAGATCACACACGCGAAATCGTCCCTCGATGATGCATCTCTCAGCGTCCAAACGACCCACCAGACGATCAAAAAACGGTACAGCATCTCATAAAAACGAATCAGATCGGCAGATCGAACGAACAGGATTGCGACTCAACACAGCTCCGTCGCCGCGTCCCATTTCCACGCAAAAGACAACAACCACAGCTTTCCGCAAGATCAGCGAACAAAGCAAAAACGTCGGAGCTCAGATCTCGACATCGAATCGGAACGACACTCGACTTTTGCAAACCACGCCGACCGAGAACAAGCGAGGCACATCAAAACAGCCAAAGACACTAGAAGCAACACCGGATCGAGAGAGAGAGAGAGAGAGAGAGAGAGAGAGAGAGAGAGAGAGAGAGAGAGAGAGAGAGAGAGCGGGACGTACGCTTTCCGCCGCCGAGCACCTTGTGGACGGGCTGCTCCCGGCCGAAGGGGCGGTAGACCTTGGCCTTCGGCGGCGGCGGCGGCGGCGGCGACGGGGCGGCGGGCTTGTCGTCGTCGGAGTCGGAGGAGGAGGAGGAGGAGGAGTCGCGAGCGGCGTGGATCTTCTCCGCGATCTTCTCCGCGAGGGACTCGCCGCCCTTGGGTTCCTCGTGATCCGCCATGGACGCCACAGAGATGCGAGCTCGAAGCAAGCAAGCAAGCCTAGCCCCTTCCCTTCCCTTCCCGATCCCCAAAACCCTAGAAGAAGGACCCGAAGCGAGCGAGAGAGAATCTCACCAAAACAAAAAAAAAAATGCAAACTTTTTTCCTTTGCCCTTCTCCTGGGTTGCGATTTCAAAGATCCCTCCCTCCCTTTCGTAACAGACGTTGCATCGCATAATCGCTTCGCCTTTTAAAAGGAAAAATGACACCGAGTGCCCCGGAATCTTGGACCGCTATACAATATGATCCATGAATTTTTAATTTATTCGGTATAATTTTTAAATTATATATATTTAATTTAATCATCAAATTATATTTAATATAATCTTTTCATTAATTCAAACTTAAAAATTAAATCGAATATTTTTATATAATTCAAAAATTATATATTAAAAATTTATGGATTAAATTATATATCGAGCCATAATTTACGGGATTGCACTTGTCATTATTCATTTTTGAAAGTTGGAGAGTGGTGTGCCTCTCCTTTTCGAGGGGGGCGGCTGGTTTGGAGGACGACGGGGCGGGGTTCGATCTCGGACGTCGGATCGTGCCCCTCGCTTTCCGATCCGGGCCGTCCGTTCGGTTCGGCGCCGAGCCTGGAGATTCGGATCGGGGAGTGCGGGCCACGCCTTGCTGCGGGTGACGCACCGCCGAGCAGTTTTAGAAAAAGCCCCCCTCCGTTTTTTTTTGTTCTTTTTTTGGGTGCAGTTTTTAGAGCGCCTCTTGCCCTGCCTCTGAACAGCAACACCGGGAGAGCACTGGTTTTTTGCCCCCCCCCTTAACGATTATAATATTTTGAGAAATGTGCTCGGGACATTTTCCTGAAATTATCTTTGATGTGCCATCCACATGGTGATGTTTCAGTCACAATTCACATCATGCTTTTTCTCTTGTGGGGCCATGGAATTGTTGTTTGCACCAATTTCAACCTATCTTGCACCCCCCCAAAAACAGAGAGAAAATAAAAAAAGGAAAGATAGTAAATGGAGGTGTGTTGTGGCTCTTGAACAATCTTTAGGATTCTTTGGGGAAAATCTAGATGCTAAATCGAAGCTGTTGTTACTACTAGAAAATGGGCGCTAGAAATATCGGGACGATTTAGCGGTTCGAATGATCAGCGGTGATGGACCGATTCCGTGGTAGAATCGCGCCTTGTTCTCCTAAGCCTAGGTTAAGGCCTAAGGACTCTCTCTCTCTCTTCTTCTTCCTCTCTTATCAATTGAAGCGGATTGAACGCGACGGGAGCTACTTTCTTAGAAGACTTTACATCAATGTCATTAGAATTGAGGCCGAGCTTGATCTTCATTTCACGAGCTACCGTTGCATGATCCCAAGGCTTGTGAGATCGATACATGGGTACCGTTGGATCGTGCGGATCCCGCATGAATCCTAGCCTTATCTTGCGATGCATACGAGCCGGGCTCACCCGCGACATTATCGTCCCCGGAACTTTTTCTCATTTCCATATGGAAAAAAACAGGGGACAAATGCGTGGCGACGGCCACTAGAAGGAAGGACGGTGGGGACGGGGGGATAAAACTGCAGAAAGTGAAAGAGAATTAAAGGGGACAAAAGGAAAGGGACAGCTACTCGAGCCCCAAAAATTTGGCCACGCCAGCTGCACTAACTTTCGGTTTCATGGTGTCGAAGGTCCAAATTAGCACCACCAAGAGACGGGAAAATTAGGCCAAAACCATGACTTCCATGAACGCTTCTCTTGCGCGAGCGCGAATACATTGCATCCCGAAGAGGCGGACCTTACCGATTTGACTTCACGATTATCTGTAACGTTACTGAAATCTGATGGGAATAGACTTAATCAACTGATTAAATCAAAAAAACGATTCACGATCTGATCTAGTTTAGACTACCGGATTATTGTCGATCGCAAACAGGATCGAGCTAGTTTAACTGATTGAAACGGACTAGTTTAATCGAATCGGCACTGATTCAAACTATTTATTCAATTAGAGGGTATAATAAGTTGGACGAGTAAAGCTCTGGAGCAAGGAAACCTTAAATTTAAAAGAATTTGAAGTAGGGCGTATAACCTTGTCAAGCAAGATGAGCTAAGATAAATGAAAAGTAATTCATAGAATTAGCAAAATATGCACACATGTTACATGTATACACAAAAATTTTGCTTGTGAAAAACTAGTTCCTTTGTTCGCATTATACGCGCGCGTACCCAATTCGAGATGGATTTAATTGATTTTTGGTAGAGAATATGGATATGAATTTCAAAAGTGGTGATCTGTGCTTAAAAAAATACGAGATTTGTAAAGTTATTGTCCGAAGGTGTCAAACTTTAATAATTGATGATATATAATGTTTCCTTCGCTTTTTCTATACTAATATGGGGTAAGAGTGCTGTAGCCTCCTAAAAAAGTCGATACCACTAATTCAAAAGTTGACTTTATATGTAGCGTAGATTCAGCAAAACCACCTCATTAAAACCATTTCACTGAAAGAAATTGTTGTTGGGTTACACAAAAGAAGAAATTCCAAAAATATATGTGTAAAATTAGACAGATCTAATAAATTTAATGTTTTAAAGAAGATTGTTGCAATAGAAAAGATTCAAATTTCAATATTGAAACGTACGAAAAACAAGGCACAATTACAGACTTTATACATTTGTCCATGGATACAACGTATGTAAAAACAATTAAGTAATTGAGGATATTCGGGGAAGAAAAAAAGATCGAGATCCTTGTTATATTACATTATAATACTGGTAAGCCATTTCATATGGGGACGATTTCACATAATTTGAAGATGGGCCTTGGATGATCATTGTCTTGGCCCACATTCTATTGTCCATAACATTAAATTCTAGGTAAGTAGTTGTGTTCATTTGATGCTTTCAAGTTTGATTAATGGGTCCTTAGATCACTAAATATTAACTATTTCAGCAACTATATGTTATTGGTCTGAAAAATTGGTTAGTGCAATCATAGTCGGATTAAGGTTGGGCTCCCGGGTCATAAAACTTTTCATGAGCCTGCTTTTGGGCCGGTGGGGGCTTTAGTACATTAGACTGCTCATTAAGTTAATCAAAGTTCAGAGGAGAGTCACAATGTTCCAACACATTTTCATTATGGTTGATTAATGATTCTATAAATTGTCTTTCGTCATAGATGTAACTACATGCAATACGTCTGTTGTTCGATATATTGGTATAGTATCAATTATGTGTATGATATAGCTATGATGATTGATGGGAAAGGCTGTACCGGAGCAAACAAGTGATTAGTTGTTTATACGGTATACTGTGTTATGCAGGAGACCCAACCTCTCTACTCTGATCATTGTCTTATTGCCTGCTGCACAGTCGAGCCACACAACCCGCCATTGCTAGTCGCAGCTTGCGTGACGGTGGCGGTAGCGGAGGCGGAGGTGGAGGCAAAGGGGTTGGGAGAGGAGAAAGAAATGTGTGTTGGGGTAAGTTTCATTAGAACACAGTTATATTTTGGTCAAAGAGACAACTCTTCCAGGTAAAATTAACTCTTAACTTTAAAGGATGCTAATCCTACCAAACAAAATATAGAATCTTATGGGGTTGTTATCATGTAGATTACCAAAAGTCACCTGAGTGACATTGAGTAAACATGATCACAGATGCCTGATCCCTTGCCGAGTCCGCCCCGGCTCGAAACGCAGTTTGGGCCCCATGGGCCCACAAACTTAGGCCCATGGGGCCCTTCTGGGCCCGATCATTCACGAAGACGCCCGCCGCCCGGCCCGTCCGGCCCATCGATCGGGACCACGGTCTGCCCGGCAAGTCTAAGCCGGGTTTACTTAACGGCAACGAATGTTGTTTCTATGTCTTCCCTTCTTCGACAGACCAAACACACGATGTTCACGCGGACACCGATATGAGCAAATCACCTTTTGGGCTATGCTTGTCGATGCTCCCGCACATCCTCCCTTTTCCTTAGCCATGTTGACAACTTCACCTACCAAGATTTCATTAGACCGCACACCTCTATTGCGCTCAATCATTCGACTTCTCCCTGAAATCCAGCACTTGACGTGTGAAAATTTAAACAAAGCACAGCCCACACAACATGAGATAGTTTATTCATAGAAATTCCTGTTTTGGCCGATTGGATCCTCGTAGCTTCTCCTCTCCCGCTTCTTGCCGCCTCTACGCATTCAACATGTCGGATCATGAGCTGGAACTTTTGAATGCCCATTTTTTTTTTTTGGGCTCTTTCTTTGAGTAAAATCGCTATGTTGTTGTTGTTGTTGTTGTTAGGGAAAACACCACTAAAAATCTCAAACCATATTACTTGTGATAAATTTACCATGAATTTTTTTTTGTGACACGAAAAACCCCAAACTATACCCCAATCATTAATCCGCCGACCACGGCGGAGGGGAAGAGATAAGAAAAAAAAAGGAAAAAAAAAAGAGAAAAAAGAAAAGACGAAAATGCCCATGGATAAATGTATTGTGGGGTAAATGTATCACAAGTGGCATAGTTTGGAGTTTTTTGTGTCACAAAAAAAAATTCGGGGTAAATTTGTCACAAGTGACATAGTTTGGGATTTTTGGTGGTGTTTTCCCTTGTTATTATTATTGTTTCTACCTGGAAACTGGCAGTTTGCTTTTGTGACATTTTGGTACGCTTACCCAAAAGACATCCTAGTATTGCCAAAAGCTCAAGCCATCGAAACCAGAAGAAACAAAGGCATCGCAAGAAATTAATCTCCAAAGACCAACCAGACTATATATGAATATAAATAAAAATATATATACATTTGCAGTACTTATATAGTTGTATTGATGAGCGCACATACACATAGAATTTGCCAAAAACATGTGCATTATTAATACAAGAGCGAAAGGGATGAAATATAGGGGTGATCAGTTCCCGAATTGGACCGGTTCCACCCGTTAATCGAGGATCGGGAATATATATATTTTTGCACTGCTTATAGTGTTGTACCGATGAGTGCACATACACATAGAATGTGCCAAAAACATGTGCATCGATTGATATTTAATACAAGAGCGAAAGGGGTGAAATATAAGGGTGATTGGTTCCCGGATTGAACCGGTTCCACCCTAAAATCGGGAATTGAGAATATATATATTTGCAATACTTATACAGTTGTATTAATGAGCGCACATACACATAGAATGTGCCAAAAACATGTGTATATGTTGATATTTAATACAAGAGTTGTAAAATATATGGGTGATCGGTTTCCGGATTGGACCGGTTCCACCCCAAAATCCGGTACCGAGATCGGGATCGGTCCCGGTCCCGGTCCAATTCCCGAGACCGATCCCAATCCCGAGGTGGACAAGTCCAATTTAGGGTTTTGGCAATTTCTTTTTCTTTATTCTTTAAAAGAAAAGGAAAAAAAACATATCGATTTGGTCCGGTCAGTTCAGGTGGTTCGGTTTTGCACCTAGAAAAGGGAACATACTCTTTATTCCTAGTTTAAAAAATTAGGAACCGTGAACAGGACCGCTTCCCGCAAAACCGCTCATAACCGCCGATTCAGTCCGGTTCTGTGCACATAATCCTAGTGAAATATATGCAAATTACAGGAATCAAAAACAGTAAAATTTGTGCAGATATTTCTTGCCCTTTTCCTGGGCACATATATGATCAGGAATTGATTCGGAGAGGTATGTTCATCAAAAGAAGGGCAAACCAAAAATCTAAGAAGAACAATCATGCCTCTATTAGCATATCAAATGCTGGACTCTGCGGTTTGACAAATCAAGGCTCATGGTGCAATTCATCACCGACGTCAACCTCCTCTTCACAATCTTGATCAGATGAACCGTACCCCTCAGCTCTGCGTAGCTCGTCAGCTCCAACACGTTGTCGCTCATGTCACTGCTCAAATTCTTCAGATCGCTTATCCTGCTCGACCTGACCGCGACCACGACGTCCACGTGCTTTGTCTCCCTCGACCAGACCGTCCCGTTGCCGAGCGCCTTCTCCCCGATGACCGTCCCGTTGTAGCTCATGGTCAAATTGCTGTTCTCGAACTCGAACCGGCCGAAGTTGGTGTTCTTGAGCGTCGCTTGCACGGCGAGCGTCGCGTCCAGCCGTGTCGCGGGGTAATCGCTCGTGTAGTTGAGGGACTCGACCGACACGTCGAGCAGAGCGAGCTCGGGGTGGGCGGGGCGCAGCACGATCAGGGAAAAGATCAGGGCGACCACGCAGAGGACGACGAACGCCGTGAGGAGGTACACGGGGCACTTGCTGCTGCGTCCGCGGGAGGACGGCCCCGGCTTGAACACCTGCGAGAACTCCTCGTCGCTCCTGCGGTGGAACTTCGAAGGCGGCGATGGACGAAGTTGATGAAACATGCTCGCTAACGGAAGGCGTTTGGGTTTTTGGTGTGTGAAGCCACTAATGATTGATGGGTCTCTTGGCGACTTTTTGGATTTCTTGTGTGTGTTTTGCGTTGGAGAGCGTATGTATATACGAGTGTGGAGAGGAAATAAAGAAGCGACGTGTGGATCGAGTTGATGAGCCTTTTGACGAAGCGGTGGGGAGATTACTTAGCCGGCCATTCCTTGGAGAATCCGAACGCCGTCCTTAGAATCTTTCCGAAGTCCTGTTCGGATGCATCACCATTTTGTACGCCCAGAAAAGGAAGGAAATCTGAATGACACGGGAGAAGAGAATGGATATGTCATCCTGTTTAGATTGACTACCCTAAGTTTCAACCGTTTTATTGGAAAAATGATCCGAAAAGTCATAAATCCATTTCTCTTGTACTAATTTAGTCGTAAACTTTTCAATTTGAAAAAATTTAGTCCTAAACCTTTTGATGATTTGTCAATATAGTCAATTCGATCAATTTTGGCAGGATATCGCTGATATGGATGCCGGCATTCCTACGTGATGTCGTGACCTACCTTTCGGATGAATCACCTACACCTAGGGTTTGGCTAATGGATTATTAAGCTTACTTCTAGCTCGGGCTCTTCTAAACCCATATCAATTCGCAACTTAGATTCAATCTTTAACATGTAAATTAATTTCATTTTGTGAGTCGTCACTAATCAGTTTTTTATGGAGTCTTATACGAAACAGAGATAAACATACATAGAAAAAGATAAATCAAACAGATGAACATTTATAGCAAAAGATTAGCACTCAATATTCAAAGAATATCCACTCAAGCTCAAATTTGGAAAGAAATAAAACCGACACCCTTATCCTAAGACTTAAGGATTAAGTTGCCGATTTTCCGTGCAATTGATAACCATATCTCATTGCTATAGATTGAGCTACGATTATACGCGCATTGCCGAATTAGGAAAATTTCCTAATTGGCTATGCCTAGAATATCAAGATATTCATGTTAGATCACAATATACTCAAATAGGTAAGATTTAAATATGGATAAGATTTTTACCTAGATTGAAGATTTGATTCAAAATTGGATTCGGCGGTTACAGGACTTCGGATAATGACCGGCAGTGATCGATGGCAAAAGGGTTCTCGGCCTTGGCTTTTTATGGCTGGCCGACGGGGGGAGTTTCGGTTTGCGGGTGTGAGGGACTCGGCTCAGTGGTGATGTTCAATGACGATGTCTATGTAGATTAGCTTAGGCAGTGGCTTTCGTCGTTGAAAGGGATCGCTGCTATGTGTGGTCATGACTGGAAACTCACCGGAACACCAAACAAGATGCAAAATAGAAGCAACTGTAGCTATGCAACTCGGTGAGGACTGCAAAGGGTAGCGACTTGTCGTTGGGGCCTCTCCATGGTGCACACAACTTCGTCGACAGAGAGAATCCCTTGGTTGCTGTCATCGCAAACCAGGTGTCGGTGTAGATCGGCAGGTTCATGGCTTGGGTCAGGGTAGCAACTCATTGGAACTCACGGCTGGCTGGATCGGGAAGGAGTAGCAACGGCGGCAAGGTAGGCGCTCGGCAAGGGACGGCTGCATGCAAGGTGGCACAGCCATAGGGAATTCACGGCTGATTGTGGAGGAACTCGGTTGAGAGGGGTCTTGGTCAGCGCTGACACAGATAAATTTTGAAAATTTTAATGTTTTTGAAAATTTTAATTTTTTTTTTCCTTCTTCCTTCTCCAGTTGCCGGGCTTCGTGATGGCCAGCAACCAGCCACAAGCAAGGGTCACCCTTGCCGGCCTCAAGCGAGGCTTGACCAAGGCTAGATCCGGCGAGGTTGAGCCTCGCCCAAAGCTCCACTTGGCTGGTGAGGCCAACCCTCAACAGCCGTTGTCGAGGCCCGGTGTTCGGCTGAGGAATAAAGGAACAAAAAGATGAAATGAAAGAAAATGAAAAATGAAAAATAAATAATTTTAAAAATTCAAGAATTGCAAAAATTGTCAGCGCTAGCCATGTTAAGTCGGATGACCGATGTCCACGTTAACAATTTTTGGTCAAAATTGGCTAAAATGACTACATTGATAAATCGTCAAATGGTTTAGGACTAAATTGACTAAATTAAAAGGTTTAGAACAGAATTGGCACAAGTGTAATATGTTTAGAACTTTTTTTGGTAATTTCCCCCTTGTTACTACTTCTAGCCTAAAAATAATGGTCCGTGTTGGTAGCGTAAACACTTGATTTTTTTTTTTAGAAGGCCAAATACTTGTGTGGACCTAAGTATGTATGAATTAGGTCCATTATAACCGTTGAATGTGTATACTCATAATCATCGCTGTTGATTTTGTAGGCTGATATAGGGAACCCACACGATTAATGCTCATGATCATTTTGGGTCCGTGGAGCTAGGTCGAGACGAGACATTAGATATTTCAGTACAAATCAATGATAAATAGATTAACTCCTAGCTGCTCACTTTGGTTAAATAATCTTTTTGACTTAGCGTAATTAATCACGGTGTATAATATTGAACATGAGTGGACCAAAGTATAAGTTACTCAGAAGTAGTTCAAGCTTCGCTAGATGATAATTGAAGATCGAAATGTTTGAATTTGAGAGAACTCGTGAGCTCGAGCTACTCAAATATCTTGTCGAGTTAAACTCGAATAGCTCTCGCTCATGGAAACTTTCTTCTTGATTATTGATAATTGGCATAAAAATGAGTATACCTTTTACCGAAAAATAGAAAGAAATAGACAATACTCCTTTTCTTTTTTTTTAGCAGCACAAGGTGGTAAGATTCTTTTCACAAGTGGCAGACCAGACTTGTTGTTTGGAGGACGGGATTCATGATTCGAAAGTACCGTAAATTGTCAGATCTGGTGAGATCCACCTGAAGCTCACATTAGACCCGCCATCTATAATGGTTCGGATTCCTTTTAGCGCGTACGCGTATAATAATTTCTCCTTTCCTTCCTCTTTCTTTCCCTTAATTCACTTTTTTGTCCTCTGTTTGCGTAAATTTCCTTCAGTCACTGTCGAGACTCCGTTCCTGCGAAGGTCGGCTACGCGTACTGAAATGAGCATGTCGAAAGCTCCTCTCGAGCAGGTTTCTTCTTGTTCTTTTCTTTCTCTTCTGGATTACGCGAAATTCAACTCCTCGTGGGGTCCAACATATCGACATCAATCAATGTGAAACGATCAGGACTCCCGCACAATAATTACATCTGTCGATTCAAGCTTCTTCGAGACTATCTGTGTTCACTGTGATCGAGAGCTTCTGGGCTCGAAGCCCAGTAGGGTTTCTCCACCTCCTTAGCACCGCGCTCGAGCATGTTGCGCTGGAACTTGCATGCGAAGTAACGGGAACGAGCATGGGTCCAGCCATTGATCTGGATCATGCAGAACTTCTGACGATAGCTTTTCTTCGTGGGAAAGATTAGCCCCACACGTAAAGCTTGACTTTTGAGTTTGTGTGCGTTTGTTTAGTTGGAAAGAATGGAAGTGATTCGCGAAACAAAAGGGGCCATCAATTCAGAGATGTCGATGTCAATATCTCGGGCTCGACATCTCTTAGGCACTTCCGCGTCTATGTATTCGCGTGTATGAAAAAAGCTGAATTTGGCTTACTAAATTACGAACGAATGTAACAAGTCCTAAACCGACATTATTACAATTTAAAACGGGGGGTGTGAGCAGAGGAAATTTCCTTTTCCGTGAAAAGGAAAGATTTTACTTGACACTAGGGCCCATTAGGCCAACATGACAGAACTTTTCATTCACGATCTGCAAAAGTGCAATGTTCTTCACTTGCTATGACAGTGACAATTGGACATCTTCAAACTGAAAATTACAGAATTTTGGCACAAGGGAGAACAATATGCCGTTGCCAACAATTAGAGTGAAAAATGTGAACCCGTGTTGGGTTTTGGTCTTCAGATTTTTCTAGGGTAATCTGCAAGCCCACCAGAGATACTTTCGGCCCGTGATAAAAGGGCTTAGACTAACTGTGAAGTCCCACATCGCCTGCGGCCCGTAAAACTGAACACTTCATATGTAGCTATCATCCAGCTACTGGTTTTCTCTTCGGAGACATCCGATAAAATTGGAACGATATTAGCATAGATTAGCATGGCCCCTGCGCAAGGATGTCACGCACAAATCGAGAAATGGTCCAAATTTTTTTTATCTCTCTATGTTTTTTTTTGCCCTTTCTCACGTTGCGGTGTTTGTGTTGGTCTTTATCCCCTGTGTCTGTCTATTGTTCTTATTGACAGCTACGAACAAGGCTCATGTTGCAGCGTTGGTCTTTAGTCTTCTTTCTGGTTTCGGATTGTTACTATAGACAGCTCAACCAAATTACTGGACTTATCACAGTTTGTTTCTCAGGTCAAGTCTCTTACAGCTGAGGCCGAAAAAGGGTATAACCTCGAGATCTGCTGACTTCGTGCATTTGTATTGTGACAGTCATGAACTTTTGACAGTTTATAGAGTTGATAGCTGATTGCAAATCCAAGTCGACAAAGATATGCAAGTCAAACAAAAGATAAAAGAGGATAGGTCAAGTGGACCGTATATGAACTTCTTGATCAAATTAGGTTGCCACACTCAAGCTTGACTAACTAGAGCCTCTGTTTTCATTGGTCTATGCGTCGAAAGGATGAGAGGAAAAGTTTCGCGACAGCATCATTTGGGAAAATTAGCGAGGCCTGGAACTGTCTTTACATTTAAGTGGTGCGGACTCTCTGTGGCCCCCTATGATTTCACCGTGTTATGTTAGTGAGGACAACAAAAACAACTAAAGAAGAGGAAACAATCCCATTGTGCAGTGATTCCCCCAGTCCCAACTTGAGTGGAGTTTGACATTGTTGATGACGGGCCCGCAGGAAACTTATTGCGCGCGTTTGAGTCTCGTTGAAGCTCATGAAAATAATCGGAGTCAAGCCCTGAATGACATGGAATACTTTCAGGACATGCCGGTTCTGAAATTCCGAATCGATGATCCTGCTTTCACATGTTGGACTAAATCCCCGAGACACGAGTCCTCAGCATCGCCCCATTGTGAACTCCAAGTCATTGCTCAGTCTCTTGGCGAGGGCTAGCGTGGCCGTGATGCCGGAGGGAGCGGCGGAGACAATCACGATGGCAGCTTTGCCTTTGGGCACGGTGTAGTGTCTCAAGCCCATGCAGTTGGCGGTTCCTATCACGAGCCATTGCAGGAAGTGGGACCCTGTCTCTTCTTGATCTGATTCCTCTTGAAGCAGAATGATTGGTGAGCTTTGCTCATCGCCTCGTGCTTGAACGAGTTTGTGGCAAAGAGGACACGGAGTCCGAAAGCTCGACTTAGCCCCCCAAAGTGGACTCCCTCTGTTTTCAAAGTAGGATTCATTCCCCAGGACAAGACCCAAACCAAGAAACATAATTTTCACTGATGCTCTATGTAACTATGACTCGTGGACTAGGGGCGGGCAAACCGGACCGGACTTGTTCGCTCGTTTCACGACGAGGAATACCTTTCACCGAACCTTGATTTTCGGTTTTTATTAAGATAGGTTATGTGGCTTGATTTCTAGAAGAGTTATGGCGAAAAACAGAGTGTAGTACAGGAGTATATGGAAATGGATAGAAATCGAGTGGATTGAAAATGGATCTGAGATCAACAAAGTTCCGAGCTACGTTACAATACTCCTATGAAAGCTGTAAAGGACTTGAAAGTTAAACAAAGCTGCAGGAAGTTGAAAATGCAGGAAGTAAAAGTACAAAGGAGACTAAAGTGCAGATAAGCTTGAGTGTTTTTGCATTGTTCTTGGTGTCCCCCTTCCTTCTTTCTTCTGAATATTTGTATCTCCTCATATCCTGCAACTACTTATCGGTTACTTATATGTTTTCAAACTTTGAATTTTGGCGCTTCCAATAACTGTCTTTTCTAACCACGTTTTTTCAGTTTTATTGTCCGCCAAAACTTGATCTCAACAGCTGGGACAACTTCAAATTTGGACAAGTAACTCCCCACAATATGCTCGTGCTCACTATTTCCGCTTTTTGCTCATAACTTCCTCGCTATCGTGATTTTCGTGGTGGCCGTGATTCATCTTTACCGATTCTCTATAATTTCGGTATATTCCCGAAGTGTAAACTTCCCGAATTTCGGAAAGAGTCAACGTCCCGAGGCATAAACGTTCCAACGCTCTTTATATTCCCGAACTATGACTTTTCATGTTTCGGTAAACATACCGATATTCATCAACTACCGAATTCGGGATATGATGCCATTCACGCTTGCTTCGCAGCCTTTTTCCGAATCTTATCCAAACGTATTTCGGAAGATGGTTGATTTCCATTATACATCAGATTCGGCATTGAAGCCGACTCAGCGTCTATGCCGATTCTTATTTTGGTGTCAACAGGACCAAACTGGCCTATTTTAAGCGGTTCCCGGGGCACTGATCCAGTTTCCGATTTCAATACTAGTGATTTTCGATCCGATTCCATGGAACCGCCACTCGGACCGGACTGATTTTTTGTTCTTGCAGCCTCTTGCATTTTGGAGTTCTTTTTGGTGGGGTCCAATGCTTTCCGCCATTATATATCACAATCAGATTAGCCAACATACTTTATCAAGCAAGGTCTCGATTTCAGTATAGGTAAACTCGCAGTAGACAAATGGAAAAGAACAAAACGCCTTCAGTTTTCAACCAAAATTAAAACATTTTGATCACAGAACTCTATCTGTGAAACCAAACCATCGGTTCCATTGGCGCACTCGGAATCGGACCGGATCAGTCGATTCAATTCCCAGATTAAGTGAGCCGATTCTAGATTTCAAAAATTGAGAACCAAAACTGGTTACAAGCTAAGTCCGGATCGATAGGATGGGAATGCCCTTCAAATATTATAATCTAAATCAAGACCGACTCGCTTCATTCATTTTTTTTTATTTATATGTCTAATCCTCCATTATAAAAAGTTTCCCTCGAGGAAAATGAAGAGTTTCTTTCCTTGTTTGTTTTTTTTTATCGAAAACCCTGTCGTTTCTAGCCCATGATTACGTAAGAAGCAGTAGTGACTCAGACTATTGTGCAAAATATCTCTTAATGATTGCAAAAGACAAAATAGCATTGCGCAGCACCTATTGGCTATAACAGTATAGGGGGGTGGAACAAACACTTGGACATAAAAAAAAAGAAGAAAAAATACACGACAAAATTAAAGAAAATACGCGAGTATACGTATTTTTTTTTTGTTTCCGTCTCCCTCACTTCCTCAGTTGCATGCCCAGGCCAGGACCTGCCTCGCCGGCACGAGGATCGTCATGCTGCAATCCATCACCGACGTCTTCTTCTTCTTGAACATGAACATGACCGTCACCTTCCCGGTGATCTCGCCTCCGCTGTTCAGCGAGATGACCCCCGAGCTCAGGTCGATCCCGAGGCCCGGGTTGCTGGTCGAGTTCGAGGAGTCCAGCTTCAAGTATACGCCCACGTCGATCTTCTTGGTGGACTTGAAGTTGGCCTTGCTCTTGGGGATGTAGACTTGCCCCACCGGGACGCCGTGGGAGGTGAAGTAGATGGTGGTGGCGTCGTACTTGAAGGGTCCCCAGTTGGTGTTCTTGATCTGGATCGGGGCCATGAAGCTCATGTCGAACGAGGGCGAGGCCGGGGTGCCGACGGTGAGGGTCTGGATCATGTCGGGCGGGGCGATTCTGAACTTGGGGGACCTGAACTTCATGATCACCAGGACGAAGAAGAGGCCCTGGACGACCTGGAAGATGACGAAGGCGATGATGCCGATGGTCCACTTCCTCCGCTTCTTGCGCCTCGCCTCCTCGTCGTCCATCGCGTGGAGCGCCTCGTGGTCTTTATCATCCGCCATCTGGGCGTCTCTGTGCGCTCTGTCCCTAAAGCTTGGATGGATATCTATGCGGAGGGAGTGTCTGCTCGAGCGAGTGACGATGAGAATGAGAGGATGAGACGAGAGGCTGCTAAGGTTTTGTCTCCTATATATCTGCAGAATTGGTCAAAGAGCAACAGCTGATCAGACGACTGAGAGCAATCGAAATCGCTGTCGTTCGAGACCGGCGTTGAATCTCAAGAGCCAAGCGCGTAGCCCACGCTCGGAGTCCTATTGGAGCCATCGCTTCTAGATGAAAAGCGACCTTCTGGTGGGGGCATTCTTCTGCAAGAAAACGAGAGAAAGAGCGAGGTCCTTTCTCTCTTTTTCTCTCCTTTCCCGTTCAGCCATGGGAAATGCAATACTCATTGGTAGAGGCTTCGATGACGTGAATTGATCCCACTGGTCAGCTTTGCCCTACGTTATCCAACCGGTGTTTGAACGTGTGGTGGAGAGGCATTGTCAAAAGACGAACTGATCGAAAGAGCTTGTACACTTACTTCCCGACCCGTGGACGTATCGCGATCGCGGCGCGAGATATTATTCGATGAATCTGATATCCGTGCCGAAGCGAAGTGGATCTGAACCTTCGGATTGGGCAGGGTCTACGCGGGACGTGGACCTCCCACGAAACCTTATCTTTTTCGGTAGGTCGGATTTTGTTTAGTGTGTACGCTACACTCGTGTTACGGATTGTCCGTGATGCAATTGAATTTAATTTGTTTGCCGCCACACTAAATTTGAGTAATTAAGCACCCTTTTATGTGATGCGTAATTAGAGGAATAGAGCGGTTTAATTAGATATTTCAAGATGATCGAGTATCGTACAAACTAAAATGAAACAAATAGACGCCAATGAGGCGTGTGGCACATTTTTTTTTTTTATAATCCAAATGCATGAACATGGAGATCCGATCATACCAAGCAGAACAACCCAGTCTTGCCTTTTTTTTGGTTAAAAAACAATTTTTTAAATTTTTAATATTTTATCCAATTTTCTTTTTCCTTTTTTAAAAATTTTTCTATCCTTTTTGTTTTTTTTTTCTTTTCTAAATCTTCAATTCTTTTCTTGATGTGGCGTCTGGTGGGTGTCGTGTGTATCAAGAAAGAGATAAAAAAAAGTGACAGTTCCACTATAATCAAATTAGACAGAGATAAACGAAGGATTTGATGGTGTTGATTTGATAAGTTTTAGAATACGAATACATTTTCGAAAATTGATTACTCGATCGCATTTTCGTAACAAATTTAAGGACTTTCGGCATCCGTTAGCTAAAAATATATATTAGCAAACTCTTAGCCTCCAAACACGCTTGACTAGTTTCGTTTTCACAGGATATCAACATGGAAAAAAGCTCTGACCAATATATACATGTATACACACATATAATTGGAACAAAGCAAAGAGAATACATTCCCGAATATAATTCTGAATTCTAATCGATCTGATTGGTGATTGTTATACAAGGTCTTGTCCCAACCCCTCCGCTCTGACTTAGCCACTCCACCAAACAGAAGAAAGGTCTTCAATTTGGGTCGTCTTCGAAGTTACAGGATTTGAAACGGGGCCCACCTCGAAAAGCTTTCGAATCGTGGCACGTTCGTTTCACGAAAAATAAATAATTTGTAAGATATTTTCTTAATAGTAATCGCTTATATCGCTCGGAATAATCAGTTAGCGAGAAATATTTTCATTATCGCTAACAATTTATGTCTAAACATTTTCGTGGACTGTGAAAAATATCTTTCGTTCATTCATTTTGGTAAGCGACACAAGCGCTCGTTTTTTGGACCAGATCATTCATTTCCCAAGAAACAAAACGAAAGCCGTACATGCATGAAAACGTGAGTGATAACTTGGAAGCTAATCAATCTATGGTGGGAATACAAGTATAGTTTTGGAAGGGAGGATGCTGTCCGCAACAGGTAACTTTGGTTCTTGAGGGAGGGATGTCTACTACAGCGATGCCCGCCGATCGAGACCGTGGCTTTGTCCTCCATTGGACGCATACTTTTCCTCGTGAGCAGGCCCTCGAACCAAACCATATGCAGGCAAGAATGTTGACCAAGAGAAATTAGGTGGAAATGATGTTGATGGGGTCTGGTCAGAGTAAACCTGAACTGGAAGGCTGCTAAGCTTTTCTTTAATGATATTTTACGAGAGTATCTACCGCCCGCCATTGTGGACTTGAGAGAGCAGTCGCTTTTGAGTCACGTTCGGGAATCGGGAGAGAGGAGAATGGGGTTCTTCGAGGGAAAGATTACGAAAGTCAGCACCAGTTTAGCTTAAAAGGAGGTGTTTGCGTGATGGGAATCATAGAACTTTCTTCTCCGTGAACAGAGTTATGGACTTTTGACTCGATAAAAACGACTAGGTCTCGACTTTGCAGCGATCTGCTTAACGAGAGCTATATAGAAATTAGAGGAGAAAATGACAGTATAATTGACATCTCAACTAATGCCGATGATCGTACTCATACGAAGTGTGTCGGTTTATTATTGATGGAATTGCTTGTCGGCTGAGAAATATTCTAATCGCAAAACTATCTAAAATTGGGCAAGGATTAGCTACCGCTCGCTAGGTGTATCCCATTTGTTTGGTGTGGCCAACCATTCACTTGCACACTTTACCACACATAATCATTTACAAAAGGGAAAAACGGATAAAAAATTTCAAGCTATGCCCATTATAATATATTTACCCAAAATCTTTTTCTGTGATACAAATTTTTTTATACATGTACCTATGTGATACATTTACCTTTCGTTAAGATTTCGTCAATGGGTATCATTAAAATTCTATCTTCATGGATGTCGGAAGGCAACGGTGTTGACAGGGTACCTACGTGACTTAAATGAAATAAAAAAAAAACGTTGTGTTGGCTGAAAAATCATCTGACAGAACCTTGATAGAGGGTAAATATGTCACTTAGGTATAAGTTTGAGGTTTTTATGTTACAATAAAAATTTTAGGATAAATGTATCACAATGGACATAATATGAGGTTTTTGATGTTATATAAAAAGTTTAGGATAAATGTGTCACAATGAGCATGTTTAGGAATTTTGGTGACTTTTTCCCTTTACAAAAAGAACCCCAAAACCCAACTTTTTCCCAATATTTCTCTCTCCCACTTGCAACCACACCAGGCTGCCTCTGTTCCACCACGGCCTCCTGCTCAGCTCCCAAAGTCTAGCCCTCACCCCGAGTTTAGCTGTCGAAGGTCGAAACCCGTTTTAGTGGTTCTTACTCGCTGGAATGTACGTTTCATGGTATTAATCCTAAAATATCGTGAAGTTATTATATAGATTTAGTCTATGTAGACCTACACCATTTTACTCATTGGTCATGTCCCACTAAGGGTTTTAAACATTCGTTGATCATGATGATTTTGGTCTAGATAGACTCATCTATTTGATAATTTTCTTAAAACACCATACGGCCCGTCATAATATAAATCGGAAGCTAATCATATCTTGTAATCAAATCAAAGTGAAATCATCAAAAAATAAATTGATGAAAAATAATGAACACTAGATATTTACATGGTTCGATTCGAGATCGGAACCTACTTTGCGGGGAGAGCAGTTGATGTAGAAAGATACCTAAATGAAGGGGGAGCAGTAGGAGATTATTGAGATGCACGTGAGAGTTATGTTAGAGAAGTCCCACATCGGAGAATTGGTGATACAGAGTAGTTAATATATCTTAGTTGGCCCATAACTCATTGGCTTAAACTTTTGAGTGAATGTTAGTCCAACTAGATATGTTGATGGGCTCCTATTTTGGCTCTCGCTTATCGATCTCTCCAAGTAAAGGTATCGGATTTCTGCTGTGCAATCCTAACAATATGAGCCCCACCTTTTGTCTGCACACGGTACGCAATACAAAAGGAGTCCAAGCAGGCAAAATCGGAATCTTCATGTGCAATTGTAAGGCCTTCGAGAAAAGAAATTTAGGCTTCGTAGGTTTTGCGGAAAATGAATGATTTGGAAAATATTTTACTAAAAATATTAAAATGTATCGCTTTAAATAATTAGTTAATAAAAAACATTATCATTATGGACAACAATTTATGTTTAAATATTTTTATGGACGATGAAAATATTTTGCGTTCATTCATTTATATAAGTGATACAAACGATAATAGTTAGGAAAATATTTCCCTCGTCATTTATTTTTCATGAGACAAACACACCTTTAATTTAAATAGGATAATGTGAGATTCTTTTCCTCGCATTTGACCAACAACGATTTCTCGGGTTACTGGTTCTTATATATGGGTTCAGATCGAATTTTGCACGAGTTCAAACTCGAGATATAATTTAACACGGCCAACACACTTAGGAAGTTAGGGATGTCTAGATTCTTGAAATTTCGGTTTCTTCTTTTAAAGCTCTCGGCTCTTCTTGTCGAGCTAACATACATATTATAGTTGAAAGACAGATTATTTGTGTCAAGATTAGACAAATTCACAAGACTAAAGACAAATTTTTTTTATTGAGTTTTTGGATCTCGTACTTTTTTTGTTCTTGACAACATCTCAATTATGCAATTATGTTCGAATTGTTATGCCTTTCGCGGCCAGTCGAATTCCACCGTGGGGCCACCAAACTTATAAACTTCAGTTTGCATTTTTATGGTTATAAAAAAAATGAAGACAACATACTCTACACAAATATTTGTCACAAATCCCTCCATTCATAATATTTATCAAAGTACAAACAGGTCACGTAAAATTGAATTAAGGCAGAAAATCAACAATAAATGTATACAAAATTTCACATAATACATGGATAACCAAAAAAAGAAAATGAAAAGGAAAACCTAACGACTAGAAGCAAGCGCTAAGCACACAAGCCACCTAATTTAGAAATCACACACTTGCACCTCTCATTCACATGACAAGGACTGGACCGCCTTTGTCGCTGTAACGATAGCCATGGTGCAATTCATCTGGGATGTCTTCGTCTTCTTGAACATGAACATGATCGTTACCTTCCCTTTGAGCGCACCTTGACTGTTCAACGTTATAATCCCCGAACTCAAATCGCTCCCAAGATTCGATGTTGTGGACAAATTAGCAGAGCTCAGAGCCACGTTCACATCGATCTTCTTGGTGGACTTGAAGTTGGCCTTGCTCTTGGGAATGACCGCTTGTCCCACTTGGACACCTCCATAGGTGAAGTCAACAGTAGAAGCATCATACTTGAAGGGACCCCAGTTGGTGTTCTTGACCCGGATCGGAGCGACAAAGGTCATGTCGAACGAGGGTGAGGCCTGAGTCCCGACGTTCAAGGTTTGGACATCGAACTCGCCAACCCTGAACTTGGGGGACTTGAACTTCATGATGACCAGGACGAAGAAGAGGGCTTGGACTACCTGAAAGATGACGAAGGCGATGATGCCGATCGTCCATTTCATCCTCTTCTTACGCTTCGCCTCCTCGTCCATGTAGTGCAGCGATTCATTGTCCTTCGACATTGTCTCTTCTGAACAGAAGGAAGTTTTCTGTTTCTTCCTTGTTGTGTGATCTCAATTTGGTGTTTTCTCAACGAATTTGGAGAAGCTGTGAGGATTGTATTGAGGAGGTAGGCTTTTATACAGATTCTGGCGCGTACCCAAGACGACTAATTATGACCAAAGGCTCCTTCCACATGCCAAAAGCACCCAATATTGAAAATTCTAACGTTCTAGACGAACGCGAGTTCATACGTGGATTTTCTTTTCTCTAATATGAAATGGAATATTTATTGTCGAAAATTAGAAGCTTCGATGATTGTGCGGTCACAACCACAACGCTAAGCCTCCGGAGGTACACACGGACAAAAGTAGGCGGAGAGAGCTTGAGTTTATTGACTTTTCAAACGCTCAGGATGTTTGAAGGCTCCTAAGGTTTCGTCACCGGAGCAAATGGAACAGTTAACTACGTCTTATCGTTGATTATTAAAAGGTAATCTTCGCTGATCTCAGGTTAAAAAATACTTAGTTGAGGTCCGCCGATACTGGCCATGCCACGTGACCATTGTTACTAAAATTTGAATTATTTAATTGGCTAACATAGCCATTAACCTTTGTCTTTCCTACCAAAAACAAAACCTTCGTCTTAATCCCAAATGTGAAGGTTTGGATTCTTCCATTTCACTATACAAACCAACAGATTAGTACGCAAAACAAAAAAGTATGCTCTATTGCAAGACTAGGTTTTTAGCTGGTAAAAGGGCACGATGATTAACCTCCCTATGGCAGTGTAGATCCCAATCTCTTAATTACGCTTCAATGTGATCAAGCTACTCATCACGTGGTAGAGGATGACTTAGGGTTCATTTAGCACGTTGGTCGTTAAAAACAACACTCAAGATCTTCATAACTAGAATCTAGATCACATAATCGAGTAAAATGGATTTGTGGATTTGCGCACCTGATTTAGAATTCATCGCTTTTGATGCGAAATAGCGACAATCATTAGCGCAAGTTATTCTCTTCTATTACCCTCTGTATCTCAATAAGACTGCATTTCACAATTAGCGTTTGCTTTTTATGTGAGATAATGTGTGTGTCAGGGTTCGAGGATGGACTTGACCTCTATTTATAGAGTTTTAAGCCAGACCTTCACATCATGGGTCAGGCCTAACTCAACCCACACTAGCCAGTCCTATATTAGACTATTTAAGAATCTTTATATCTTACCTTATTAGACCAAGTCTGTAAAACGGTTAATTGCCATCTCAATTAATTTAGCCCACATAAAAAAAAAAAACTCTTACATAGCAACTTCAATATTGTCAAATAGTCGAATAGCCTTGACCTAAAATCAAGTAATTTACTAAATCATTTTGAATATGGCTCACATATGAAAAAAATATTAATTTTGATTGATAATCAACTTGTATGGCAGGACGGGAAAGTAGTTTAATTGTCTCCAAATAAGCTAAATAATAATTGCTCCATTTCAAAATTCTAAATTGAGATAGACAGAGTGACGAAAATATTGGGTAGGTTTGGGTTTCCATGTCAATGGTAGGCCATTGCATTCGCTAGTCGTCACATGTCCAAATGGGGCCCACTATTTGTTGGGAGCGCATATCATAAGCCTGATATCTTCACTTGGAGGGATCGCCAAGAGAGAGTACATGTTTGAACCCATTAACATATCTAATTGGATAAACATTCACTTAAAACTTAAGCTAATTGGTTATGAGTCAACTTGAATATATTAATTGCTCCACACCATATCAATTATCCGATATGAGACTTTTCTTAACACAACTCGTATGTGTATCTCAAAAATATTCCTCTCACGTGTGAACTTAGTGTTAGTTATGCTCCCTCCTTTAATTTAAGTATTCTTCTGCATCAAGATTTTTCAACTTGAATCTCTATCAATGCCCAACTTCATTCCTAATCTCTTTCTCGAGACCGAACCATGAAGTCTGCCATCGGCCCTGCATTATTACACTATAAAGCCTAAAAATCACGTTGGTCACTGGATTCCTTCCTCGAAATATTCACCAAATACCGGAACGGATTAGGGACCCACAAATCTACCATCGGATCTGATACAATTTGTTGAGGTTGTTGGATATTTTAACAGTTTTGAAATACTTTTTATGGTAATGACTTTGATAGAAGTTTTGACCGCCATGAAAGCTATCATCTTGTAATGGTTTTATAATGATTTTGTTACGTTGATTTATTTTTTTTCATAAACCCTCCATTTAATAACGGCTTTACAACCGTCATAATTTTAACAATCATCAATTGTTTTATAACGATTTCTTAACGGCACTCTCTTTTGTTTGAATATAAAATTAAAATTCAAACCACAATACTTTAAGATACACCGAATTAGAAAAAGAGAATTTTCCTTTCCTTTCTTTGCTAGGTTATACACAAATGTTGTTCATTTTCCTTCTTTTATATGCGGAATAAAGACAAAGGTCTATTATATCTTGGGAGGATAGTCACTAGAGCCTATTGCGACGGGTTTCGTATTCCGGTGGACGGAATTATCTTTAAGGACCCTGCTTGCACCCCTAAGACAATTTCATCTTATTTTCTCATCTTTTTCAACAGATTTCCAAGAATTCTTATTTTTCATATTATTTAATATTTTTCCAACAATCTTAAGGATAATTGCCTTATGGATTCCCAAACTGAAACTACCACTACTACCACCGCTGTTGGAATTGAACAAGGACTTGGAGATGGTGAAGGACAGTATCACATATTCGTGGGCGGTTTACGATGGCCATTACGAGATATCTCAAGAAAAGCCGGATCCTTTGGCTCGACTACGCTTCCTCCTCTGTGGAAATTGGCGACCACTTTTTCTTATGCGTTGAGGCTTGTCGACACCGAATTTGCACTATCGTTGCGTCACCATTTCAGCTGGTCCAACTTCATCATCATGATGGATCAGCATCGGATCAACTCCTACCGCCACAAAGTGACAAATCTCCGCGGTGGTTCCAATTTCAATTGTTCTTGAACTCATTATATCCAATTGAAGCTTCTCCAGATATGTCGTAATCGAAGTTTAATCAAGCTATAGATCTTCATTCTCTGCTCCTTATCTGATTGTTGCTATGGAATTAGAGCTAAGTCCTTTCTCTTTCTCTATTCTCCATTTCCGATTTCTTATTTAGTCAATCGCACTGATCTACTGAGTCTTTTCCTGAATTTCCAAATGCTTCTTCATCGACTTCCATTCTCCATCACCTTTTGGACGCTATTCGCCTAATTTCACTCTTTTAAAACAAATTTACAAATTTGGCCTTTAATGGATTGAAATTTAATTTAACAGAAAGAATTGAAGGCCAAAATTTTGCCCATTATTTTTAATTGGCAACAAGAGTATCTAAGTATGTGCAATTACTTAAAGACATAGATAACGGACCATGTGAAGACTTCATACAAAGTGTGGCTTTAATGGAAAGATATGAGTCATATGATGAATCTGACCAAAATAAAATTTCGTTAGGAAAAAATTAAATTCGTAGATGATAAGGGGGCATATGGCAACCCTTGATTATCTAATTTAAAATAATTGACCAATCAATAAATCATTTAATTCTTTGAAAATGGGCATATGTTGACACCATAAAATGTCCAAGTATTCGGTTGACAATTTTAGATGCAACTGATTAGGAAGTGGAGGGGACATAAATGTCATATAGTTGAGTCCATAATTTCGGATGCAATTGTTAAAGACGTAACCGTCAAAGTAATTGAGTCGATGTAACCGTCAGTGTAGAGAAGTCAAGTAATCGTCAGTGCAGTGAAGTTGTCAGTGTAGTGGGGTGGATGTAACCGTTGTATGTGGGCTATGAATACCATAATTGTGCTTTTTGTGAACTCCCCCAATTAATCCAAGAACTCAACGTTTTTTATTTCAAATTTATCTTTTACGTCACTTTCTTGCAATTTAATGGTGGGCCGTAATTGCCTCCATTTTTTGGACCTTTAAATTTATTGTCATTTACTTTCTTGTTCAAAATCAACAAAAAAATCATTCACAATCTTTATTGATTTACTTATCAACCCATATACTTGAAAAATTTTTTCATCGGTAAGCGAATAGATACATCAATACTTAATTGTGAGTTATCATGATAAAGTCACTAACCATGTGGAGAAGCTATTAATTACCGGTAGAGTTCAAACTTATCTTCTATTATGATAACTTAGAAATCAAATAACACAATTACTATTGGCGTTGATGGGCATATGCTTACTTTTTCACACTACTAATCACGTCAGTGAGTTACTTATGAGTGATAGGCTAAATGTTATATTGTATGAAAATTACTAATCTAGACAACTACATTGCTAATGATTGATGCGTGCATACTTTTCCAAAGGGTGAAAGGCTTACTAACCATCGTGAAAAAAGACTAACAAAAATTGCTTGATATATTGATACTTACTTTTCTTTATATAAAAAGGTTCTCGAGCAGCCTGAGGAGTTACTAAACATGAGTGAATTGGTTAGCAATTTTCTTGGAGAAAAGTGCTTTTCAACTTATTAATATATAGTCAATAACTCTTCATATGAAAGAGGTAATTAAGCATTGACACATCTGGTAATTAACTAGAAAAAGTTAGAGGACTAGTATCACAAGCAGAAAAGAACCGGCTAAGTTTATTAGTTGAATGTTTACATCTTTTGACTCTAGTCACACCTACTTATAATGTTAAGAGCTCCGTGTCCTCATATTAATAGAAGATGGCTTGGCTGGTCCTCTTCCTCCTTATATAGAAAAAACGAGCTAAGTTTTCAGGAAGTTTAGGGCGCGCATGATAATCATTATGTTTATCTATTTTTCTATTTTTCTATTTTTCCAGTTTCCGGGAACAAGTTTGGAAGAAAAATCCGTTTGTCAACACAATTTCATTTTTCTATTTCTAAGACAATTTTTTAGCCCAGAAATAGGTTTGGAACAGTAATGACAAGTTTTTACTTTTATTTTAGGAACAGAAATAAAAATAAAAACTCTCTCCTCCCACTCACTTTCCACCACCACCACCACCATCACCTTTTCTCTCACCCCCACCTCCTCCTCCTCCTCCTCCTCCTCCTCCTTCACCAC